ACCTGATTGCAGTTGAAACTACAAATCAATAATCTAGCTATTATATTGTACCAAAGTTCATTACATACTAAATCTACTGAGTTGTGTTTATAAGAATGGGTGTTCACTATGTATGGCTGTTATGTGAAAATTTCAAGTCATGCTTGTTACTGCTTTGTACTACTTTCATGAAATTCATTACTGCGCTTTTCACAAAGAATAAACCTTGAAACACAGAAACACACGAAACGGATCGAAATCCACCAATCACAAATCACAGACCATGACCTTTTGAACCCGTTGATGTAAAGTTTTGTTTTACTGGAGGTCTGTTAAGATGATTGACGGCAGGAAAAAACGCAATCATCAGTTGGCTTTTGAACTTCAGAAATTTGCATGTTTGTGAAAATCGCAGTAAAATGACCTGCCAGGTATGTAACACTTCCAACTAAAAATGAACCCCTCCAAAATAAATCAAGATTTTGAAAATGACCCCCCGGCAAAATGGCCGGCCCTCCCTTACAAATAATAAATGACCAGCCCCTACGTACCCTGCGAGCAGAGGCTACATTTTCGCTGTGTGAGCTAGCGTGCGAAAAGTGACCTGCTACTTTTTCCACGCCAGTTCACACAGCGAAAATGTAGCCTCTGCTCGCAGGGTATATAGCCCCTATGTAGTCCTTGTGAGCCCCATTTGCATCAAATACAAGGCATCTAGGTCCAAAGGGAGGGAAATGCCTGAGATTTATTTAGAAACTTTGAGTTCATGTAGTTAAGTATAGGTATTTGCTTCTGCTTCGTTTCGTTTGGTTTCGAAAATTACAGTGATAATTTGCAAACCGGACCGCGACCAAAGAAGTTATAAAACAAATTGAGCATAAATTTTAAAATTTAACCTGTGGCTTAAATCGAGACTTCCCGCCAAGCCCTGCTAACACTTTTCAAGAAAGCTTCTGCAAGCCAGAATGTAAACAAGAAAAGTTAAAGTCGAGGTTAGTCGAGGTTGCTTCTAAAACAAACTAAAAATGTAAAACCCTTAAGAGGTTTATAAATCTGGCAGCCGTTTTCATAACAACGATCCGGCTTTAGACAACTTGCGGAAACGTACGAATACTCGACAAGCAACAATGACAGTCTCCACGTCCAATAACAAAATGAATAAAACCCAAACTGACCTTTACCGATCAATGTTGCTAAGGTATCGATGTAAGTTTGGCTGTTAATATAGTGTCTTGTTCTCCTGTTATCTCCAGATCCTCGCGTTTCACCCCAGTGTACGAAAGCTTTGCCATGAAACTCAATCCGTAGGCCTCGCAGTTTTAACTCCTTATTCACTTTGAGACGGAGGGTTCCATTAATTGCCTCCCCTGGGTAAAACGTCCTTTTCCCTCCATAAAATTCAACAACGAAGTAATCAACCTTGCCCATCGCTTAACAGCTGACATTAAATTTTTCACCGTAATTACATGCATGACGAGTCTGGTGTGAATCACCTACAGCCGAAGGAGGGAGGCGAGGATTTCGAAAGATAGGCTTCTCATATGTAGCCTGCGAACAGCAGACGCATTTCCGGTCATCGCTTCTCTCCCTCCGAAAAATGACCGAAAAATAGCTATTCTCGGAGGGAGAGAAGCGACGACCGGAAATGCGTCTGCTGTTCGTAAGCTGGGTCATATGTGCAGAGGGCTCCAATGACACCGCCTGCGAACTAAAGTTTTGCCATCGGGCCAGTGGTTAGTGGGGAGGAGCGTTGCGTGACGACACTAAAAACGGCTGTGTAGCAGACTAGTGAATCATGTTCTTTTAACAAGTGAAAACTTGTTAAACGGTCAAGTGAAGTCTTAATTCTGGTAGGCTTTTCAAGCTATTGATTATATCGAGGGAGGGGTAACTAAAGGGGTTGCAATCCCGTACGGTCGAACCTCTCGTAAGCGACCACTCAAAATGCCAACGAGAATCAGACCCCGGGAATCAGACCTCACAATCGGCGACAAAATTTGTTGAGACATTGTACTCATAGGGAGGACTTCAAAGAACAAAAAAACTCCACCAAAAAAACAAAAAAACACCCCTCCCCTGTCCCTTCCATTCAATGTTGGGGTGTTGGGGATGGGGGGAAAAAAGCTATATTTTCCCCTTATGAAGTCAGGAAAACATCAAAAATCCCCTTTAGGGCGAAGTGGCACTGTAATGTTACCTCCACTGCAACTGGAAGTGTTCCGTGTACTCTAAAGTTGACAAATACTAACAACCGACGGCCAGGAGTATCCAACCGATTAGGGAATGTTTTTAAAGTAGTAATTAACGATCGAGGAAAATCGAAGCTTGTTTTTCCAATATCATTTTAATATACACATTACACTGAAGGCTTTTCTCGAGAGCATAGTATTTAAAAATACAGTTATCTGGATGGACAGTTTTCATTGATAGTGAATTCCTTTCTTCATGAGCTGGTCTGGACTAATGGGAAACGCTCATGATCTTTCAAGAATTTTTAGTTGGCAAAACGTAACATTTTAAACTACAATATTCAGTATAAATACAATCCACATTCAAAGTAATATAGGAATTAAAAGTAAACTTTTGCGGAACACACTATAAATATTAGAAACATCAGTTTAAGTACAGTTACAGTCCAGTTTGAATATAATTATAGTAGACACTTACAGGAATCGAAAGCAAAAGGAAAGGATCTAAAAAGTGTAAAACGTACGTCTTGCTGAGTTTTGCCAAGGCACTCTTCCTTAACATTGAGATTAACGAAGCCATTCTAAGCTATTTAATTTCTATCGATCCATTGGTCGCCATTTTTATTTAGTAGAAAACATTCCTTTTTGTCACAAAAATACAGTCAACTTCTCTGCACACTCTTATCGAGTTGAAAAGGTGCAGTTACGTAAGACACTTTTAGCGTGGTAAATGGCCCTTTACCACGATTTCTGGTTAGGTCAATGACATTTCTTTTACCGTTAGAAAAAATTTACAATATTTTTCCACGGCCAACAATCATGGTGAACGTTGGCTTTTGCGACCCATCAAATGGTCCTATAAACCTCTTTTCACATTCTTTGTTTATTCCATGAAGTGGTATGTCGCGAGAACTGTTCTATACTTTACGGTATTTCAAATGGTCTACCAGTTTTTCAATTTTCATACAATTTCATCATTATACACATCTTTTTTGCAGTGTGGATGCTCAAATTCGCACTATCGCCAGCTAATCTACAAGCTAATTATAAACGTGCCCACTCCTGCGATAGTACTATCGCCCGGACGGGGGGGGGGGGGGGG